ATTGTTTTGTTTTCGAAGTACTTTTATTGTTTTAGATGTGCAGGAAGTTTACAAATGTTTATAATAAGATGCATTGTTGAGGAGTGATTGCCTCAGATGACATAGCTACGCATACGTACTTGAACGTGCGACCGTGGATGCGGAATCGCCTACTCTCACTTGCCACTCTTGCTGCAATTGTTACACTACTTTAAGTACGTCCATATCGGGAATCGCAGATATAAATTGTGATATATTTTCAAATGAAAGGTGTTCGGACCTGTTCGACCCACCTACTACTGCGAGATATTAATGAGACTGATTTATCCTTCGAGACGAGTCTTGCCAAGTTCATACCTACATTAGAATTATGTGTGCTTGGGTGAGTATTCTATTGATTTTATAAACGAGGACATAAAAGGCCCCGTAAATTAGGATGCTGAGCAAGTCCTATTTAAATTATGGCTACGAAACCCGATACTATTGTACATACGCAGCATGCATCCTTCCTTTCGTACCCCATTTCCTACTTACATTCACTGATGTACTCAATATATAGCTCTAACCTTTTTACTGCAAAATTTATCTCTCCCTTTTGTCCCCCCGCAGGACTTGGGTCAGTTTGCCTTCACACGGCTGATGTTGGACACCTCGGAAATGATACGGCACTACACTTTCATGAACTCTCGGGTGACCACATTGTGAATCAACTAGAACAACAGTATTAACAGTATAATTTAGTAATCACCTCGATACATGAACGTTATTAAAATGAAAAATCAATAGTAGACGGACAGCTATGACTTATCCAAAGGTTCGTGTATACATTGAGAGACCCGAGTAAGCCAAGAGTTATACATCGCACACTAAGATCCGGTGAACTCGGATCGAATAAACTAAATCATTCGTACAGATATAAATGAGTGGGTATGGTAACTACTGTCATATACAGCGACACGTATATGTGTGCATGCAAGGTTACTCGAACACACTCAATCGCTCGTATATATATAAATGAATACGTATATGTGTATAGGCAGGGTTGCTCGAACACACTCAATCGCTCGTATTAATATAAATGAATGAGTATATGTAACTACCATAAGTTCGTATTCATCGACACCTCTATGCGTGCATGCAGGACGGCACATTTGCTGTAGAGACTCCCAAGGCCGATCTGCATATTTGTGAAGCACACACCCATACTCGACACTTGGTTGAATTCTTCAATAATATTGAAGCCAAAATACATTGTATTTCCAGTCAAGGAGCCTCTTGGTCAGGATTGAGACTTCAAAATTCTTGAACAGCCCGGTATATTAGTGTGGGCAAAGCAAGTATGTTTGTTGCCTATATTACAGACAAATTCTCAGTAAAACCGCTAGCTCTTCCGTACAGAGGATTCATTAGAATAGCGAAGCTGGTAAGGGTAATAGATTCTTGGTCTGTTACAGCAAATAGTTAGATATAGAACGAACCTACGGGATATAGAAGAATACTGAAACTGTTAGGGTCGATGGATTATTAGTCTTCTACAGCAAAAAGATAAATCTAAAAATCTACATGCTATATTAGTCTACATACTATATTAGTAGAGAGAAACTGCCAGGGTCAATGAATTATTAGTCTACTGCAGCAAATAGATAATATAAAGTCCTTTATACTATGAGAGAAACTGCCGGGGTCAATGGATTATTAGCCATTTACAGCAAATAGATAAATATGAAACCTACATACTATGTATGAGAGAATTTGCCAGGGTCAATGAACTATTAGTTTCCTACAATAAATAGAAATAAACAGAAACCTACATAACATGGGAGAAACTGTCATGGTCAATGTATTATTAGTCTCGTTCAGCAAATAAATAAAAATAAAACCTACATGATATATCTGTGTAGAGAAATCGCCATGGTCAATGGATTGTTCGCCATTTACAGTAATTAGGTGAACAAACCTACGAAATATTGTAGATGCTCACGGTTGGCCCATCCATGTGACTCGTTTAATGAAGTCAAACACAAAATGGAAGTACATCAAATGCTGGGTATAGCTCCCGTAATGGCACGTGAAGCCACCAGAAATACTACGCCAATCTCTCTCAATATCCGAGCCGGTTTCGCAGGATTTATCAAGGCCTATCATTCATATTCTATCGCCCGGTATAAGTGCCATGCTATATGACGCATCATGACGGTCACAAACGTTAAATAATCAATCTTGTGTGAGCTCATGTGCAAGCATATTGTACTACAAGCCTACTCGAGCGAGCCCCTAAACTGTACGTGGTTATGCAATGCCGTACCCTATGTGTACGCAAAGAGAACAGGTCTACTCTAGCGTACCACTTAAATCTATAAGGTTCTCTCCAATACGAACCCTATGTGCAAGCATATAGTACAAATCTATTTAGATAAGCGCTAAAAAATACAAGGTTCTGTAATGCGAATCGTATACGGCTCTAGAGCAGTTGAGTATATATGGATTCCAAGAGGGAAGCAATGTAATTTATAAACTTTATTCATGATGATGTTTGAAAGCGTACATTGCTGAAGCCTGGAGTCTGAAGGTCCCTATTTAACTTTATCACTGAAAGCACAGTTGATGGTTCCTGCATAACACTCATCATGAAATCTGTCGGTTATGTTTTGGCCTAAATGGAGCTCCCCCGAAAGTCTCATTCCATCGAACTGAGGTGGTAGGTGGAAAGTCTTAAAGAGTCGAGAAAAAAAAGACTCAACACTTGCAGTCCCCACGGTGGCCGTGTCATGGTCTATTAAGTATAAATCTAACCCTCCTTTGGGTCGCAACATGTACCTTGCTTGCACTGCAACAAGGTATCGCATTCTCCAGCCCATCGGCAGCAGCTTCGATCATCAATCAGCTGCTCATTCGCACTGCACTTGTAGCCAGCATCTAGCTCGTTCTTTTCCTTGCAGGATATCACAGAGTTGGAAGTGTTAGCCTCGACTTTTAAGCAGCACTTAATCAGACATGACACATCAGAGTCTTCACTGGTTTCGCACTCGACCACATTCGAAGCTGTGTTGAAAGTGTTACCCGGTGCGCATTGTCCAGTCCACTTCGAGCATTTGGCAACCGATCGGCGAGATCTGGGAGGTGTGGCGTTCTGGGCTTTGGGAGGTGTGGTGGCCTGGGCTTTGGGAGGTGTGGTGGCCTGGGCTTTAGGAGGCGGGGTCGTCTCAATTTCTACGCAGCACTTGATAAGGCAAGCCGCATCCGAGTCTTTATCGGTTTGGCACTTAAGTGCATCCGAAGCTGTGTTGTAAGTGCTACCTG